GCCGGGCAGCGAGCAGGCGACTGGACCGTTTGCTGGAGACTCCTCGAAACGCGGGAGGTCGCGTCTAGTCCTGCTCCGAGCAGCACCTCCCCGGCTGTCTCGTCCCAGCCAAGGCTTTGTGGAGCCGGGGCTTCAGCATCTCTGAGGGTGGAGGAGATGCCACCACTTCTCTGGCAACCTGTTCCCACGTGTCACTATCCTCCTCCTGAGAGGTTTTTTTCCCTAATATCTAACCAGCAATGCAGGTTTTGGGGAAATTTTGAAAGTTTTCCAATGCCCTAAATGGAGTGTGATCTGATGTAGCATGTTTGTTTGACTTAAAACTAAAAAAGTACCCCTTGTTTATTTTATGTCCCAATAGCCACAAGTATTTGAACTGAAATCTTTGATTATTGGAAAAAATGAAATGGAGCACACTTAATGTGTATTAAATGTTATGTTCAAACAAATGCAAAACTTTGTGGAAATAAGTTATTTTTATTGGAATACTTGTAAAATGTAAAGATGAGGTACAATAGCATGTACTTCCCTGACATGGTTTGTTTAAATTTAAGACAAAAAACAAAGGTGCTGAAAACTGGCACACTAATTTTGGTACACCCTAAAAACTGTGCACGATGGGCTGAGCTTTGGGTTTGATTCGACCTGCACAGCCAATTAGGTGAATTCCTAACTTGAGTTTTAGTTTGGATTATTATGCCAGTGTATTTACCCTCCTGTTTACAAATCAATAAAACATATGTACCCTCTCGCACACTTCCTAGGGATAATCGCCTGAAAAAGATTAGTTACAACTTTGAAACTGCCAAGCTTGCCTAATATTGTATTGGCATCCATTCACTGTTACTAATGAACATTATGAAACAATGAATTTTTAGAAATGCAAAATCTCCCATGGAAAAATAAAGCACTGGAACATTTCAGAAAGTTTTCCACCCCATATTTAACCTAAACTTCCCTTGCTGCAACTGGGGCAGTCTCAGCAAAAATCCCCTTGATCTCGAGAGGAAGAAGTTCATCCCTCTGCCCCTGAAACTTGGATCTAGACCTTAACTCCCCTTGTGGGTCTTTCTGAAGAGAACCTGCCCAGACAGCTTGGAAATGGAAAGCAGTTGGAAAGTGAGGAAGGGTTTCACAATTCATGTGGTATTAAACCCTTGCTACTTAGCTCATGTGTTTGAGTGCTGATGACATTTACCAGTAAGTTTGTATCATCTGTGGAAGATTTTTAGGGCTCATGCCTGCTTACAGTGCTGAGGATGATGCTCTAACAACCAAACTAGTGACTTTCTACGAGCACCAAGAGGATTCTTCTGTTCCTTCCCACCAAGCAACTGTTCTCTTATTTGACCCAAGAAATGGATCCTTAAGAGCTGTAAGTACAGTGTGTGCTCATGCGTTAATCTTTACTAATGGTCTTTCGGAGTGTGTTGATTTAAAATGGTAGAACTAGAGGAAACTGGCGTCATTGTACTGGTTTTGGTGGAGCTGTCATTTTCAGTCAGCTGAAAGTCTGACCCACAGGTCTTGTGAGTCAGATAGCCTTTCCTACACAGTTGGGGTGATGTTTTACTTGGGATGGTCTAGGACAGTGGTTCTCAGCCTTTTTTTATACCAGAACCCACTTGTAAACAGCAATGGCCAGTCCCAGCCCAGTGCTACTCACTCCTGACCCACTGGCACTGTGTAGGGGTAGAGGCGGGGGGTGTGACATGCAGGGGGCCCAACCAGCCCCTTGCAGGCTGCAGCTGTGCCAGTCCACAAGGGAAAAGGCCCAGTTTCCCATGTTTTAATCTTTTAAAGGAGAATCCATTTTTAAAGTTTGTTCATGACCTTTTTACATACTCTTATGACCCACTTTTGGGTTGCAACCCATGGGTTAAGAAACACTGACAAGGAACAATGGTAATACGCTGATGGAGAATAGGTTTAGGTTGGAGATCGGAAGGCAATATTTTACAGTTAGGGTGGCCAAAATCTGGAACCAACTTCCCAGGGAAGTGGTCCTCACCCCTACCTTGGGAAAATTCAAGAGGAGGTTGGATGATCACCTGTCTGGGGTCTTGTGAACCCAGCATTCATTCCTGCCTGTGGCAGGGGGTCAGGCTAGATGATCTGTTCAGGTCCCTCCTGACCCTAGTTGCTATGAAACTGATGTAAGAAGACATGAATAACTTGTGTCCAAAAGCTTATCTAAAATCTCTACCAACTATGATGTTGGTCCAATAAAAGATGTCATCCCCCCCAAAATCCTTGTCTTCCTTAGTCTTGTATTTCATACTCTTAAAATTGTACTCTTTCCTCTGTTCTTTGCTATTCATTATTTCTAGTGTTTGGAAGTGAAACATTTGGGGAATAAATTGGAAACATTTACCTGACAGAGATGGGGGGGGGGGGGGGTGAGGAGTAAATTGCCAAATCTGAGACTGACCTGAGATTGCACTATGTAAAGTTGAAGTGTTTTATAGTTGACCTGAGTGGGGAAAAGGGAGGGGGTTGATTATATTTAAAAAAAAAAAAAAAAAAAAAAAAAAAAAATGGTTTTTAAAGAGTGTGTGGTTATTAACTTACTTAAAATTACAGCAGTGGTTAAGGAAGGGTCAGAACTGGAATTCCAAACCCCTGACACAGATTGGAGCAGCACAGGAGTTGCTTCATCACATTCCAGTTTACACTGGCCTGGCTAGGGTGCCTGTAATCCAGCTATTTTTGCCCTAATTTATCCTTTGCTCTAGAGACTGCAGGGGGTATGCTGCAGCAGCCACTATGCTGGTTCTCTATTCCGGCTGGTTTCCCCTAATATCATAGTATCATAGTACTTAGGGTTAGAAGGGACCTAAACAGATCATCAGGTCCGACCCCCTGCCCTGGGCAGGAACCGGTGCTGGGATCATACCCCCCCAGCCAAATATCTGTCCAGCCTCCTCTTGAAGAGTACCACCTCCCTTGGGAGCCTTTCCAGAGCCTGGCAGCCCTAACTGAAAAGTAATGTCTGTTGATGTCCAGTCTGAACCTTCTCTCTAACAATTTGTGGCCATTATTCCTAGTAACCCTGGGTGGTGCCCGGGGGGAACAGAACCTCCCCCAGTTCCCACTGTTCCCCCCTGGTGAGTTTGTAAACGGCCACCAGATCCCCTCTCAGACTTCTCTTGTAGAGGCTGAATAGGTTTAGGCCCTTTAGCCTTTCTTTGTATGGCCTGCCCTGCTGCCCCTTGACCATGCGAGTGGCCCCCCGCTGAACCCTCTCAATGCTAGCCACATCCCTCTTGAAGTATGGCACCCAGAACTGGACACAGTACTTCAACTGTCGCCTGACCAGTGCTGCATAGAGGGCCACAGGCGAATAGCCATTTTCTCTTCCATTTGTGCCACTTGAATGTGGCACAAATGAGTGGTGGAGGGCAGAGACTCTTACCTATTTTGTATATTATATTTGCAAATGCAATATTAATAATCGCTGGCTTTCAGATTTTCGCTGTCCTTTCACCTGAAAGCACTTGATATTGGGCACAATTTCTCTATGTAAATTATGCTTCTAATTTACTTGTGTATCTAGGGTTCATTTCAGTCTACTGTATTTGGTCTTCTTTGAAAGGTCTTAGATGGCAGTGTCATTACAGCAAAACGAACAGCTGCAGTGTCTGCGATAGCTACTAAGGTATGTCCTATGACTTATAAAGTGGGATGGAAAAAGTTGCTGGTGTCCCATAAAAAAAATTGAGGAAAGAGGCTTTCAGTCCATGTTAATTACTTGTAATCACAATTTGAGACTAAATTTTATGTGTGTGTATATCCCTTGAGAGAGAGTCTAAAATGTGTTTGTTTTGATTCAGAATGAGTGCTGTCTAGTGCCAATCCTTTACCTCATACATGATGAGGAAGAGAGATGGGCTGTGTTTTTTTTTTTTTTTTTTTTTTTTTTTTTTTTTTTTTTTGTTTGTTTTTTTTGTGATTTGCTCTAGATGCTTTGCTCTGGCATTATTTTTTTGTTGTATGCTCCTATGGGATTAAACTAAATGTTATTATACTGCATCATTTCTTTTGGAGCCTTTGTTTACAGTGTCACTCCCTTATGTCTAATTACATATAGGAATATGAATTCAAATTCATTAAAACATTTATTTATTTTTAACACTTGGTTGGGCTGCTGCTGCTCCCCCCCATGTGCTGGGAGGAGCCAGGGCTGCACCAGGTGGGTGGCAGTGGCGCTGAAAGCGGGCCTACAGGGGGAGCTACAGCGAAATTTGGGCTGGCTGCAGCTCCCCACCCATCCTGAGCCGAGCCTGGCACAGCCCTGGCTCCAGCCCGCAACTGCAGCCTGCCTGTCCTGCTGTGTGCCCCCAGATTGGCGCAGAACTCCACACACGTCCTCCTGGGTGCACACAGCAGGGGGAGCATGCTGGGTGCATGCTGCCCCCCTCCCCCAATGAGCCATGGCTCTGTCCTGCATGCTGCCCCAACCTGGCTGGCAGTGCCTACCCCTACCAGCTGCACGCAGCTGTCCATACTGCTGGGCTGTGCTCCTTGCTGTCTGCATGCTGTGCTGTGGCTGCATGCACACACAGGTATTTATTGACCAAATTATCAACCACTTCAGGCCAATTTCCAATACAGCCAATTTTCTTTATATCGGTACTGATCTGATATTGGACCGATGTATTGGTGCACCTCTGGTTACAGCCTATATCAAAGCAAAATGCAGACCTTTTTCCTAAGAAACCCTTCTAAAAATGGGCAAGTCTTTTGGTCTCTAATGTTAAACTTTAGGGCTACTTGTCACTCAGACAATCCCTTCTAAGAGCTGGATCCTTCAGTCTTTACTCAAGCAATGCTCCACAGTCTTCAAAGGAGCTTTCCTGGTGTGGGGACTTCAAGATCAAATCTTTGTCATGTGCTTCTCTATGAAATTTTCAGCCCTGTTTGAGTTTAGCTCTTTTAGTTGCTTTTAAAAAAAAAAAAAAAAAAAAAAGTAAAGAAAACAAGATGACATTTCCTTTTCAAAGGGATGGTGCTTTTATGTAGGGAACCTTTGAAATCTCTACTGTTGAGTCAGTGAAATGCACAATAAAGAGAGCTCTTACCTATTGAAAAACTTGGTTCATTAGATTTTTCTTTACTTTATTTCTTTGCTGCAGAACATGTACAACTAGCCTTAAGAAATCATGCAGTTCAAAGGCTTCATGCACATAAGTGAGCATGGCATGCGTATGAACACCAACCTTGTACAACTACCTGCGGGCTGGGTCCCAGCTGGCAAGGGCTCTGTGGAGCCAGGCCAGCTCCTCCCTCCCTGCTGGTGCAGCCCAGCCCGGCTTCGCAGATCCCTGCCGGCCTGTGCCTCTTTCTGGGCCCCGCCGGTGCTGGCTCTGGGACATTGGTCCCAAGACATTGGGATGTTGGTCCCAAGCTGGTGACCAGGGGTGGGGCACCTGTTAGGGGGCGTGGCTACCCATGTGGCCCTTGACAGCCTGCCAAAACTGGTAGTAGATTCAAAGATTTCAAAGATTTGTCAAATCCCAGTGAACCCCGGGGGACAACTAAAAAAGGAAAATGGAGTAACCTGAGGACTGACTTACCTTTTGTGATTCAAATCAGTGCTTGTTTGTAAAGACTGATGGTAGATGCTTATCTTGTTCTTGGGGAACCTCTTATGTGTGGAGCATTTTAAGTCGTGAACGGCACCATGTGCAATATCGATCCAAGACTTAAATGTAATCTAAATTTTTTAGAAGGAAAATAATCAACCCATGTTTAAGACATGTTAAACTGGTGCCATTTTTAGCAAGTGGCTCCATTTAGAAGGGGGCATAGACAAGTGATAAGTTTTCTGTTTTATTCTCTTTTTTTTTTTTTTTTTTTTTTTTTTTTCCCCCTCCCCCGGAGTAGATAGTTCATCTCTAAACAAACACAGACTGGATTAGAGGGTTGCTGATCAATACTGATGGTACTTCAGGTGGCAGACTAGTGATTCTAGTCTCCCAGCCATTATCCAGTTTCAATTGCAAAAAACATGCTCCACGAGATTGCTAAATTAAATGCTTTTCTTCCTTTCCTTCACCGTTGCCGGCAACAACATAATATATAATCTGCAAAGTTTTGCATGATAAGGAGTGTAATAGACAGGGCCAAATTCTGCCCTATAAACCAACCCATGTGATGGATTCCTGGCAAGCAAACACCACCTAAGCGTGTCTGTACGGATGTATTGCATTAGTGCAGGGGTGGGCAAAATAAAGCCCGCAGGCTGGAACTAGCCCACGAGGCCATTCTATCCAGCCCCTTTTTCTACATTAAAAAAAAAAAACAAAAAACTAATATTTCTCTGCCCTTGGTTCCTTCAAAAATGACAGGAACCAAGGGCAGTAGGACCCAGGGGAAGCCCAGTGGGCTCCCAAGACAGCGGCCCACCTGGCCCTGCCCCCCCAGCCAGGGTTTCTGGGCTGGGAGCATGTGGCTGCCCGAGCACAGGAAGCTCAGGTAAGTGGGGGCTGGGGGACCCAGGGGAGGGGCATGGGAAGCATCCCCTCCCCACCCACGCCCAGTGCTGTAGCTGCTTGCAGCCTGCATGAGGCTGCCTGTGCCCGCTCCAGACAGCCCCATGTGGGTTGTGAGCGCCTGCAGCCTGGGGCACTGGCTGGGGGGTGGGGGGGGGC